GGGTTCAAGGAATACCTACATGGACCAGTGGATGCAGGAACAAAGCTTAAGGTCATATCCAGGACCGGGGACATAGGCCCTCGAGAACGTTGACGAAGACATAGGACGGTAGACGAGGAAGACGACGAGTTCAAATGTGATTGCGGCTTCGAATGCGAAGACCGTGTTCATGTAGTAGCGGAATGTCCGTTGTACAAGAAGGAGNATCGGTGATCGGTCCTGTGGGAACAATGCTCCGTCCTCTCGAGGACGCGTGGTCAATGGTCTAACCGCTAAGGCATGCAAAACATAAGAGTACGCCCCCCCCCCAGGGCTACTGACCCAAACTAGGTCCAGCATGAGGCACCTATTTTTGTATGCCCCTGCTGTAACATCACGGATGGTCGAGTCGACTCGCTGGCTGCTGTAAGAACTACCGTTGTTGTCGAAACTCGTGTGCGTGCGGCATGTACATGATGCTTGGCAAAGCGGCCGGTCTGAAGCACGACCAACGAAGCAATAATTGGTGAAGTACACAAGGTAAATTACCTTCGGTGACTCCTCCGAGCCAGCCGCTGCCACCTCCGAACGTAGCTGTTGCAAGAGAGCGCGCCCTTGTCTTCCCTCCCATCTCCTCGGCGTGGCGCCTGTGTCGGCCACCCGCCTTAGATCACTGCTGTGCCACCGTGTGTGTGTGTGTGCCATGCACGACCAATACGAAAACATGAAAGGTTAAGGTCTCTCAGCGTGAGGGCTTAGGGAAACAGGCTAAACGGAGTCTATTCCAGTATCCAGCACGTGTCAATTGCTCAACCCTCACCGCAATGGATGCATACTGCGGTACACTTAAAAAACTGAGAATCTCCGACGGGTGATTACACAGCAGTATTGTGGTGCGGTTGTTTTGTTGGGTTGATTGTTTTTGTTGTTGCTGCTGCTGTTGTTGTTGTTGTTGTTGATGATGTGCTTTTTGTCTACACAGTAGAAACCGTTCCGGTATCTGGTCACAACACACGACAGGTTGAACCGACACGGAGGCCTTCCGTGGTTACAGGCCAACTTTCACAATATTACCTCCCCAAGGGGGTGCATGTACACCAGCACAAGCACACACACATGGGCGTTGAGAAGAATCATTGACGAAATACATGGAAAAACGAAAGCCGCAGCAGCATGGAATGTCCGATGGAAGGATGTGAAGATAGTCTGTGGTGTGAGGGGAGAGGAAAGCCAGCCGCTTGTAAGTACGTACGAATATGCACCCAAGCACCAGATTATGTTGCGTTGACAGTCGTAGATTAAATGGTAACAGGAGTCGAGGCAATCGCCCCGGTTCAGAGAGGACCCCAAAGGCTTCATTATTCGAAGCTACCGGTATGTACGCATTTCTGCTGTCGGTGAGAGAAAAGATTCGGGCTCAGTCACCAACAGCACGAAGACTATTTTTCAGATGTGTGTGGCATAAGTAGTTCAGATAGACATGAAGGGTCGGCGGCAGAGCCAAAGCCCAACGGAAAGCCCATGCAATTACCCCCTCCCGCACGTCGAAGGACAAGGGTTGACAACGCGCTATTCGACGGACCTCGATTGTCCACGGGCTCTTGTTGAAGACATACACATGATCCCCGTCAAGGCTGTAGAAGAGGCAGTATTAGTCCTTCGAACAGCAGTCGCTGGAGGGGCAGACTGGAAGGCAAACGCTACCGTCGGCATGGCCAGGCATAGCAGCCCTTCGTGGCCCAAGAGCGAGCGCCCACACCAAGATAGCAGCAGCAGCAGCAGCAGCGACAGCGACAGCGGTGGCGGCGGCATCAGCCGTGAAGACGTGTCAAAAACTCTTCGGTTGCACCGCTTTTTTTCAGACGAGAGGGCTAATCTCGGCTGGCTCTCTCTCTCGGCTGCTAGGTGTCCGGTAAATCTCTTCTGAACACTCGGTTACTCCTGGGATGGCGAATACCATTCTGCAACGAAGGTCTTACCTGTGAGCGCTCCGAGTCGGCGAATCATGACGGCTAGAGCGGCCAAAGCTTTCGCGGGAATGGCGTGTGCACGCACACATGTAGGCTGGAGCGCAGATTCCCTCTTCTGCGATGATAGGGAGTTCATGGTTTTTGCTATGGCTTCTGTTGCCCTAGGCCTCCGCTCTGCGCGCCGGTATAGCGGCGTGCCAACACTTTCTCGGTGCCTCTCCGTCGCCACAGCCGAAGCTAGAGCTGAGCTCAGGGAGGTGCAGGGAGGGAGATCGCGTGGGGGAGAGCTGGAGAAGGAAGACCGGGGATCTTGTAAGGTGAGATCCTTCCCTTCCTTCGTCTGGACTGGACCAGCGATCCAGAAGCGAGACCAGATCTCTTTTGCGCTCTTCAATGACTAGACTTTCCGAGAGGCACATGCTCTTAGATTGCGTAGTATAGGGAGGGTTGGACACAGGGCGACTTCCAGGCGCGCACCAGCCCCGCGCACTCCCCTTGCTTCGGAGGAAGCATTATCGTAGAGGACGAACGTGTGAAGGAGTCGACTACAGTGCTGCTGTTCCTCAACGCAGATGATCCAAGAAGCCCTATGTGATATTGCGGCGTAATTACGTGATGTATCTGCCGGCACCTTACGACACTGCTGGGCACTTGAAAGTAATACCTAACGCGTTCCCCGACTTGAGCATGAGAGGGCAGAACCTTCACCGGCCTGTGATGCTATTACTAGGTATGTTTTGAGGAAAGGGATAGGTAAATGAAATCTTGATTGGGTGATGGATCAACACCTATTTTCCTTATTTTATCACAACAACGTATCAGTTGTGTAGACACATGTTTTGTTCTTGTTTCTCACATTAGCTCTATAGTCAACAAAAAATGGGGAGCCCGTGGTCTCAAAACCCGGCACATACGACGCCGCGGGGAAACAAAACAAAAATAGGGTACAAACCACTCGGAAAAAGAAAACAAAATGATAGAAAGAAAAGAACAGGTACCGCACCGACCGTTCGAGAAAAGAGCCCTCGGAAACCGATCAAAATAAAACTAAAACTAAACTAACGGAGGACGCTTCCCACACCCGCCTAAGGAAAAAATCAAAGGGTAACGTACCAGCACCAGGCACCACGCACCAGGGCATGTGAGTAACGGAGCAAACAGGACAAAGAGGCGGCAGATGGGCAGACAGCCAGACGTACAAAAACAAAGGCAACAGCAAAGCCGAGATCAAGGTACCCAACACAGCCGAGTAGGCAGGGAGGTAATGAAAACAAGAAACACAGCACAGAGGCCGAAGGCAATACAAGGGACATACATCAAGGAGCATAGCATACAGCAGGGAGGGAAACAGGGCGCAACAACATCAGCCGGGTACATAGTTCGCCATAAGTGCTGCCTCGGCCGCCCTACTCGCTTCTACAGCAGTGCCCGGTCGCCGTTTCTTCCCCCCCATGTGTGTGAGGCCCGCTGTGTGCATCTGAATGGAAAGTAACTTGCATACAGCAGCAGTGGGCGAGCTAGGACAGGCATAGATATACAGCAGCAGGCGCTACCACTCAAGGAATTGCCAGCTATGAAAGTGAGCGTAAAACAAAATTCCAACAACAGGGCCTGACCAAGGACAGGTGCTCCGTCAAGAATGCTAAACGTAAATCCTATTAAATCGATCTTGGTATTAAGGGGATTAGTTGGGGTATTCCAGTGGAAGACCCATGGGGAAAACGAGGGAGGGTTGACTTTTGTTTTGAAGAATATAGCAGGGACAGACCAGACCAGAGAGGGATACAAAGACAGAGATATGGATAAAGACATACATACAGAGGGACAGACAATCAAACGAACAGACACAGGGAGAGAGAGAGAGGGAGAGAGACAGACGCGCGCACAGAGGCATATCAGAGAGAGAGGAGAGAGAGGGAGAAAGAAGGACAGTCAGATAGACAGACAGCCAGACACACAGACAGGCAAAGCAATGAGAGACACAGGCACAGGCAGAGACAGAGAGGTGAAGTACTTGATGTTTTGTGAGTGTGGCAAGAGTATCATGGAGAAGGGGAGAGCGGATGATGTGACATCGGAGACATTTCACACGCCGCATGCCGGCCGCATCGTGCGAAGATGGCTCGTTTCTGCTCACTGCTGCTGCTACTGCTGCTGCTGCTATGCGTACTACTGGTGTCGTGTCTACTGTTATCGTTAGCTGGACATATCAATTTCTATTTCTTGCGTTGTGGGTGAAGCAACGCTAGTCGGACGTGCCTTCTTCCGACCCCTTCCGCGAACCCAAACAGCAGCATAGTTCAACAGTGCTGCCGGGAGTGATGATTGATTTTACCCATCACGTCAGCCGTCGCGAATAACTGCCACTCCATGGGCCCCAGGCCGGTGGCCGTAGCGGTCAGCGATTTCAACCCAATTTCAGTTCCTCTACGGATTGTTCACCGCAGACTCGTCGACATCAAGATAAATTGGTCGTGATTTCGCAGCGAAATACCGAGCCCGCCATCCACGCGCCTCGCTTCGCATGCATTCATCGCACCTCTAAGGACAACTGTTCGTTCCCCCTCACTCCTGTTTTTTTTTTTTTGTCTGTTTCAAGAAATATACGCGAGCGTGGCGAGTCGTTGGTGTCCGAAAGGATTATCTCGGAGGATCGAACGGCCTGGATACAAACAATACCGGGAGAGCAAGGGGATGGAGGCACTCGTGAACATCGCGTATGACCGCATCAGCGAGGACATCATCCTGCTGTACGATGCCATGCGGGCCTATAACGAGGTATGCATGAATGACCATAGCGATGCGTTTGTGTGTGTGTGGCTGAAGCTATTAAAGGCTACATAGTTGGTTAGCGCGGTCGATGCTAATCAAAGACCCACACACTTTTGCCTCGAATGCACCCCCTACTCAACAGGCCCCGGCTCCTCGGCCTGACATCTCGGCCGTCATCGCGGCGATAAGGGGATCTCTGGCCAAGGATTCAGAGAAGGCCATGGGCCACGTCTGGTCCAGAGAAAACAGTAACGAGGGTGGGTGGCGCCCCGAAAATTCTGAGAAATTCCTAGAAATGACAACAAATGACTCTGCTGTATTTGTTTTTGTCATTGGCCGTTATTAGGACTTGTGTTCTTTTGTTGTTTTCTAGCGATTCCATTCAACGTGCGTGTGCTCGTACGGAGTTCACGTGGAACTGTACAGGATATTTTTGTCTTCGCTTGTTCAGCGAGTTTTTCAACTTGGTGTGGTCCCTTCTCACTACCTTCTGACATCTGGTCCAACTGACGCGGGCACGTTCCGTGGTCACACCCCAACCACCCACAAAAGGGTACAATGCACATTTCTTTTCTAATATCAAACTGATAATAACAACGGACTCAGATGATACCCATCGAACGCAAATAACAGATGACAAAACCACACCTGTACTTGTAATCTGCGTGTTTTGTATGCGTTACGGAACTCACACAAGTGCCGGGGGGGTACCACAATATAATATTGCGAAGGATTACATAAACCCGGGACACCCGATATTTTCTACCCGTGGATATCCCGCAGCGTACTCAAGTTACACAATGAATGGCTTGCAATTTGTGCAATGCAAGGTTTGCAGGATGTTGCCCCTTTTTGCCCATGCGGACAAACTCTGTCGGAAATTTCATGCCGAGTTTCCCTCATGGGCAGAGGGGCAACCTCCGACAAGTTTTGCAATGCACATGTTTTGAAGCCATTCATTGCGTCACTAGAATAGGAAATTCCAAGGGCGTGCTCTGCGGGATGCGCACGCGCGGAAGCATACCGCGGGTAAATACTGTACCCAAGTATTTAGTACCCCTACCCGGTACTTGTGTTACAGCTGTAGCACATACAAAACCCCGGAAATGTTACATTTTTTTTCCGGGTTTGACTCCCTGGGTACACAGCACCAACCGTAACTGAGCGCGTCTTAGTGTTACAGTAGTGACTGGTTTCAGTGCAAGCAGTGAGAGGCAAAGTGCTAGGCCCAGGTCTCTGGTGATTGGCATAGGTCTAGCTGGTTGTGTGCGTGTTTTTTTTCTTAGCATCGACCACGCTAGCTGGCTGACCAATGAAAAGACGTCTTCGTGCGGTTGAAAAACACAAGACATTTCTAAATGCCATTAACTAGTGTGTGTTGTGGCTGAAGCGGGACTGGCAGGTGTAACTGTTAGTGATTATTTTTTTTTTTTGTGACCAAAGCGGCATGGGGGCCGAAAGCTTAGCCCCGATGATGCACCCGTTGAAGCGGCTGACTTTTGTATCGACGAGACCCTGCCGTTTCGACCAATTTTCGAAACACTTTCGGCACAGCAGGTGGGTTCAGCCAACGGGGGGAGGGGCTTGATCCCGATGAAGACGTTTATGGTAGCAACGTAATCAATAGCAGTCCGTCCGAAAGGTTCGGAGCAGACGACGGGGGAATGGTGCCCATGGGGAAGGAGCCGCAGCTGTGGGAGTTCGCGAGGGATGTGACGACATCTCTGGTCAGCGACCTGGCCGTGGTGAGAAGGGAAGGGAATGTGTTGGTGATGCTGCTCGTCGTTGTTGTTGTTGTTGCTGTTGCTATTTTTTGCGGTGCTTCTTGCTCTTCTTGCTCTTCTTGCTCTACTTGCTGCAGTTGTTGCGTTGGTGTTGTTGCTGCTGCCTGCTGCTGCCTGCTGCCTGCTGCCTGCTGCTGCCTGCTGCCGCCTGCTGCTGCTGCCTACGGCCTGCTGCTTGCTGCTTCTGCTGCTGCCGCCGCCGCCGCTTGTTGTTGATGTTGGTGTGGTGATGTTGTTGCAAACCATCTTTTCGTTTGATTTTTATAGTTATTGTTGCTGTCCCTCTTGTGCTGTTTAAGATTCCGCTGTGGCAAGTCAAGGTCAGCGCCGTAGCGCACAGAGGTCGACTGCCGGAGCTGTGGCCTTTCATCGGGTACAGAAAGGTGACGTGGGGGGTCCGTAGATAGCCGAATATACCCCCCCCCCCCGATGTTTGTCATCGGGGTTGGGTTTTCGTCGCTTGGCAACGACGTTGTAAAACAAGCCGCCCCCCCCGGTGTTTGCCGTCGGGATTGGGTTTCGTCGCTTGGCAACGACGTTGTAAAACAAGCCAGTTCACTTCGTGAACTCGGCAACCAGGTTACCGTTTTTTTTTTTTTACCTCCGTTTTTTTTTTTGGCGGTAACCATAATGGTGGTCGAGTAGATCATGTTGTGCGGGGTGGAGACCCCTCACTCCGCGCAAGGGGGATGATCGCACCACGTTGTGTTAAAATGGTCAAGCACCCTCGAGGCAGTTACACAGTGCTTACAAGTGTCTCTGGAAGTGAAAGCACCAGAAAGTAATTAATTCATACGCAGCTGTCATCCGTACGCAAGGAAGTAAGCACAAGATGCCGAACACCCTTAGCAGGATGCAGCGCACCCTTCATGCGACTCGCCGAATATCTCACGGCGCTTCGCGCTTGGTGATGTGAGAGCCTGGTCCGGTGAGAACCCGGCGTGCTCCGTCCCGGCTTTGTAGGGATGCGAGGTCAATGGTCTAACGACTACGGCATGCACGACTATGAGTACCCCCCCCCCCCCGGCCTCGACGGCAAGAGCATAGCAGACACCAGAAGCATCATTTTGATTTCCACTCCTTGCTTCATCAGGTCCAGTACCAGCGTTGTTCCTGTTCTTTTTGTTATCTTCACGCTTGATATCGTTCCGATTTCTGCTCAGTCCCGTCACCGCCCAGCATCCGTACTGGTCCAACTCACGCGGACCTTCTAAGTGCTAAGACTATTCCGGCTGTCATCACAGCAAATACCTCCTCCCATTAGGTCGTCCCATGAGGTCTTATTAGGCCTACGATAGGCCGGTCGCCCCGGTGGTCTAGTTGGTATCCTCGAAGCCTTCTGGAGGTCAGGCCAGGGGTTCGAATCCCGGCGTAAGCGAGCTTTTCTTCCGCTCCTGCCCTAGTGGATAGCGCTAGTTCGTGTGTACACAGAGGGACGAGAATGCTAAACTCTTGTCGCATTAACAATCGAAGACAAAGTACCGCAGGAGGGGAGGGTAGAGAGGGGCTCTTCTGTGTGACCACGGGTTGGAGTAAACAGCATTAGTGCCGTGAGCGCTGATTTGAAGTGAAGAAAAACAAAAAAAAGCTCCTTCCGGACGACGCAATTGAAGGGTCCCAAGGTTATAGCACTCTCCCTTCTTCCCCTCGCTCCTCGACAAGCTTTTGCTTAGACATGGGTTGTAGCGAAGGGGGGGGTCTTTCTGGCGAGCAGGGCTAGACTCACCCTCAAGGGATGACCGAAACCTTCTTGCTGCTGCGCAT